CGTGTAATCTTAGAATTGTCTTACGGTCGAACCCTACAGTTTTTGAGTTTTCGGCTCCAGTTAGCGTCAAACTTGTTTGAGGCATATCTCTCTGTTCGGGACTTGATTTTCAATGTCGTTTCTTCCGTTGTTCATCTTTTCTCATTGCGGTTCTTTTTTGTTCACGAAGTTTTGCCATTTGAGCGTGTCTGCTCAAATTCCACTTTTCCAGACCCGGCGAAGCCCTTTAGGGGCACTTTTAGGGTTTTACTATAAATAGGGGATTGTAAAATTAAATCAGCTTATTTCCTCTTCTTCTCCCATGTTTCAGACCAGCCATGGCAACCTAAGGGGCTGCCACCTTCTTTTCCACCTTCTTCCCTCGTGTAAAATGTCGTAGTGCCTTAGCGTTTATCGAAGGCCTTGACGACGCGCACATTTCCCCCTTATTAGAAGCCGATTCCGACTATATTTTAGTTCGGGTTTGGATTTTCATGGTGCCTCAAAGGTTAAAGTTGCTTCCCTCTTAATCCCCGACATAACCTAGGAGTATCGTCGGATTCGGAGCATTTTTCTTTCGGTGGGGATTTGAGATTTCAACTCAAATTGAGGTGGGGGATGTTTTAGGTTTATATAAATGTTGTATTGAATGTATTTCATACTTATATAACTTAAATGCATGCCTAGGTATTTTATCTAGAATTTAATTTAATTATTTTCTTTGTGTAAGATTTAATTCTCATGGTTGTATATAGCTTAGAATTAAATTGTGGTATGCTATTAAATTAGGCCTTGATATGTTTGTTAACACATATTAAATTGGGAGTATTTGAATAAGTATTGAAACTTTTATTTAATCTTTCACTTGTATGAAAGTTTAATTCACATGGTTGTAACTAGCATAAAATCAACTTGTAATGTGATATTAAAATAGTCTTTGGTATGTACATTAACATATGTTAATTTAAGAGCAATTGAAGTTGTTTTAAAATCTAGAGAAAATTAATTAATTAGAATAATTAATTTTATTTTAAGTGCTTTAGTCACTTGAATGGATTTTTAACTTGATATTGTTGATAAGCTTGGCATGTTCTATCATATATACTAAATTGAGAATATTTGGATAAGTCTAGAGAACTTTATTTATTTATTTTGTTGGTATTGAGTTTAATTTACCTAGTTGTAACTAGTGTATAATTAACTTGTAATGTGATTTTAAAATGGGCCTTGATATGTTCCTTAACATACCTTGAATTAAGAATATTTGAATGAGCCTTGAATATTTTGTTTAAATATTTTCCTTGTATGGAATTTAATTTACCTGGTGATGCCTAGTGTAGAATTAACTTGTATAATAAAATTCAAATAGGCCTTGATATGACCTTTGACATATTTGAATTGTAAAATATTTGGAGTTGCTTTGTAATCTTAAGAATTTAATCACTTAAGATAATTAAATTCTCTTTTATGCTTCAATTGAGGTAATTAGGCATTGATGTTGTATTCTTGATTAATTTGTAGTTTGGAACTTGTTATATGATTACATGATAGTATTCCATGAGTTGAAGTTATGATTTAACTTGTAAGTGTTCACATTTTACTTATATAACATTTAATATGCCATTGTAGCTTGAATGCCTAGGGCATGGCTTGTGTGTATTCCATGACTTGGTTCTGCGTGGTGATTGATTTTAATGCATTGTGTATATGTGATATACTTGTTACACAACTTAATGATTTTAGGAAAGCTTGTATGGACATTGAAAATTGTTACGGCTAGGGCATGAAAGCGGTACGGGGGATGAGAGTTCTCTCTATTTCATATAGTGCGCACCGGGTGGTACCCTGAGAGCTAGTAACCCAAAATCACCAATATAATGGTTTTATTCCGGGTTTAGTTGCGCACTAGGTACTACCTTGCGGGCTAGTAACCCGGAACCACTTGCTTGGTAATTGAGACCTTATATCCTTTGTCTTTCCGCCAATTGTTGATTTTGCATTCAATTTCTAGTTGTAATTGTGGATTACTTTTAACTTGTACTTGGATGCATGATACTTCATTTCTTGCTTAGTATACTTGGATTTGTATACTTGTACGCCTTATATATCAAAAATGCTTAGTATACTTGAATTTGTATACTTGTATGCCATATATGTCAACATTGCTTAGTATACTTAAAAATGTATACTTGAATATATATGTTGCATTACCATTTCAATATTGCTTAGTGTACTTGGTGTGTACACTTGTATATTGATGATCTACTTTCGAGTTAACCTAATATACTTGTGTCTTGTATACTTGTCTTAAATACATTTCAATATTGAGTGTATACTTGTGTACGTATACTTGTAAATTGATTATCTTGTTGCGTTGTACCACATGCTTCTATGTTGTTTAAATTGCATGAATGTTGTGGTTTATGCTAGGAATGCTCTAAGGTAGCTTATGATGCTCCTTAAGTCTCACTTTGACATAGACATTATGTGGCATGAGCCCCTTTAACATATTTCACCTTAAGGTGATAAATTTGTAAAATGCTAGGTCTATGCATGCTCATCTTCTACAAGTAGCTTTATGTTACTCACCCCAAAGTTACCGGGGATATTTTTCAGGTACAAAGACTTGATTCATGATGCTCATCATTCCTTGGATGGTTTGTAACTTTTAAGTTTCCATTTCATACAAATGTTAGCATGAAATGTCATTTTATAGCCTTATATGTCAAAACTTGTATCTTTGATTCCATATGTAATGTGTACATAAGTACACCATTTACGATGTATTTGACTTGTATGAGATGAGGCCGGAGGCCAATGACATTTATATTGCATCTTATGTAATTCTTGATTTCATGAAATGTTATAAAAACCTTAAAAATTCATAAGTCATTACTTCATTACTTTTGCATTGGGTGTGGGAATTCCGTTTTTATTCTTTCATAGGGTCTCATTAATCATGTATGAAGTATGACCAAGGGCCAAATGGTAATTTGACTCCATTTCAAATTTTTGGATTTCAAAATTTCGATTCCAAGTTCATTTTTATCATTTTTGGCCGTCGGGGGGTCGGATTTTGAGTCGGGGCTTCTCGGGAGCTGCGGACCATTCCTGTGCACTTAGAATCATTTATTACACTTGTATGCACATTCGTTTCAACCCAGAAATGCATTTAGGGTCAAATACATACTTGGTACAAAGTTGCATTTTTTGAGTTTTTAAACCTTTACTGATCTAGGGGCATTTTGGCCATTTCATAGTGTTTTTTTTTTCATTTTCTCTCACATTACCGGGTAGAACATTTGATTTCGGGAGGGGTTTCTTCTTCGTGTTTTTCCAGAAAAATTCGTTTGACAGTCCATTTTTGCTCTCAGATGTGAACAGTTACTGTAGCAGTTTTTTTTTTGCCCCTCTTGACCTCTTCTGATCTAGGGGCATTTTGGGTATTTTGCAGTGAGTTTTTTTTCGTTTCCTTTCATTTAGTCGGGTAGAAAACTCGATTTTAGTGGGGTTTCTTCTTTGTGTTTTTTCATAAAAATTCGTTTCGGACCTCGTTTCGGCTCTCAATTCTGGCTAAATCTTTTTTTTTTTTTTTTTTTTTTTTTCCCCTAGCATGTCATGGGGCTTGTCAAGATGCTTGTGGGGTGCTCGTGGTGCCCGTCTCGACGTCATAACGTCAATTTTTTGTTTTCGCTCGTTTTCCTTCGTCCGGACTCCAAATCGAGTGAACTTTTTTTTGAACTTGACTAATTTTTTACTGTCTTTCCAACGGTGTACTCGGTTGCACCCGGATCATCCTGGATAATTACCAGTTTACTCTTTTAGCCTTAAGTACTCGTTTTTTTTCGTCATGCCGTTTCTCTTTCGTTCGAACTCCGAATCATGTGATTCTTGAATCCATCTTGATTAGTTTGTCATTGTCTTTCCAGCGGTGTGCTCGGTGGCACCTAAATCCATATTTTCAGAAATGACTATTTTGCCCTTGGGGCTATTTTTGTCCAGTTTTTCTTGCTTTCCGCTTCCACTACTCTCTTTTGAGTCCCGTGACTTTATGGGAAGTCACAGATGTGTCTCGGGAATGATATACATTCTAGGGACGTCATTTCCATGTCAAAGACTATTTTGTCCTTGGGGGCTTATTTGGTCTTTTTCTGATCTTTTCTTCCGCGTCGGTTCTCGTGGAGTTCCGTGACCTTATGAAAGGTCACTTTGGTGTCCTAGGGATGTTGTATATCCCTAGAGACTTGTTTTCTATTTTCGCTTTCGCATTTCGGATCCGTTATCAGGTCAAACTATGGTTCATCACAGGATGCACTGGCTTGAAAAACCAGAGCCGTCACATAGCGGTTCGGACCCCCGGGTTCAGGTCATTACAAATCCCGAGCAGAAAAATTCGTCCCGGACCCATACGGTGACCTCCCTGGTCAAAAATCTAAAAATTGGGGAAATGGTCCGGAATGCATTTATAATGGTCCATGACTCGAAGAAATGCTAAAAAGAATCTCGAGAACTCCATACAAGTATCCCAATGTCACAAAAATAAAAGAAAAATCGAAAAAAAAAAAAAAGACCAGTCTCTACATGCAACACTGTGTTTTTATATTTTTACTGTATGTTACCAAACACTGCTTCAAATCAAAGCACTGATGATTCCCAACTTAGTAATTTTTATTATGATTAGGTTATGTATCATTAGATTAAGAACAATATATGCCAGTCACAAACGAGCACATTCTATAGGTTTATATAGCCTAACATATTTCCATTATGTATATGTCATGATTGATGATTCAAATGAATCTTCTTTTTTTTCCCCGCAAACTAAATGAATCGAATATATTAAAATAAGATAAATTACAAGAACATTCCCAAAAACTATCACCCCCTTTTAAGTCACAAGAAGTTATTTACCCAATGTCATTGATTCCCTCAAATTAAAAAAGACTGTATACAGACCAGAGAATCATGAATGTCCATAGTACGTGCTTAAAGTTTGACAGTAATATGTGACGAAACAAGGACAACAAAATTCAAATCCAGAGAAATATTTAGAGAAAACCACCGAAAACCCGAGTCCACAATATCACAGAAAGAAGAAAATAGGAGTGTGCATGCACATTCGCCAAACAAACCATTGCAACTTAAATTGAGAAATACAATCCAATATTTGAGAAAGCACAGAGTTCTTACAAATACATAATCCACCCAAGAGGAAATGATATAACTGGCACTGTGGAATATCATCACTAGTTGATCCAAATTTAGCGCTGCCTATTATCGAACCTAAGTGCAAGGTGGTGGAATTTGGGTTCCGATGTATTTGGCTCGAACATTTTTACACGAAGAAGTGGCATCTCTCTCCCCTGATGAAAGATCCAAGTGGACATCTTCAAGACAAATGTTTTGGCATGGGATCCCTTTGCTACACTCCAATGTCACTGCTACTGCAGAAGATGAGGTTCCTCTTATGTTCTTGAAATATATGTCACTTAGCTTCACTCGAGATGGTGCCTGCAGTCAATTAACAATAGGAGTATCATCAGCACTATAGCCTAGACATCTGTTTCGTCCTTAAAATCATAATGGATTCGCATACCATCCAAGATCACTGTTTACCACTGAGCCTTTAGCTAAAGTGGTATCTCCTCCTCTCAAATGGAAAATAGAGTGTTCAAGTCTCGAATGAGACGCAATGTGTGTGCTTATTTACCAAAAGAAAAAAGTGTACATGGCAGGCTAGTCCACCTGTTTTGCTGCTCAAGCTACAAGGAGTATGCAGTAGTAACTACTTACCAAGGAAGCACAGGAAGCAAATGGACAATATGTCTGGTCAATTATAATTGGATTGGTGACGTTGTTCATGACAATGTTCTCAAATGTCATATTAGTGGCTGTGCTCCTGCCAGGAGAGTTGGGCCATGTCTTGATCCTAATGCCATTCATTGTTCCAGTCATGGTACAATCTCTGACCACAAGTCCACTTACGTCTCCTTCGTTGGGATATCTTCCCAAACTTCCAACACTATCAACCAAATGGGCATTTTGTTAGGCTAAAACAATTTACATATAGAAGATTGAAATTACAATTACAATTGAGGAAACAGAAGACAATGCCCCTTGTAGTTCATAATTTCTTACCTGATGCCATGGCCTGGTCCACAAGTGATGCTTGTAATGGTGACCTCAGAATTTCCTTGTCCAACGGATATGCAATCATCACCAGTGCCTATAAGTGATCGAGAAAAATAAACAGCAGAACTTCGCTCGATGTGGATCCCATCAGTGTTGGGACTGTTTGCTGGGGCAGAGATGCTGATTTCACTCCCTTTGAAGTTCTTGCAGTCTACAAGAGCTACGTGAAAGAACTTGCTATTCCGTGACTTTATGCCTCTAACGACCGTTGTATTCATTGCCACAAACTTTAAATTCTGAAAGAGGATGTTTTTACTCATCAATGTTCTGTTTTATTTATTTATTAATTTATTTATTTATGGTGTCTATTCTTATTAGCTTTTAGGTATGTTCTAGCAACTTACGCACTTCACAAATTAAGCTCCTTGTACTCTTATCTATAGTCATCTATTATATAATTAGAGCCAACCAACATATACCCATGTTTTTTGTTTCCCGGGTACCCAAGTTGCTACTTGAAGGCAATCAAATAATGTTGCCTTCAGCAATGGATCATATACTTAATTTCATTGTTTCAAGACATCAATGGGCGTGATTTGGGCTAGCCAACATCGACTCGAGCCAGGGACCAGGTCTGACAGTATAGATTATTGGATATTTTAGCCTCCGTACCTACCTACTGGTAAAAAAAATATAGCAAGAGGCAGCATACACATCTCAGTACTGAATATGGTACCTAATGCAACAATAATGGAATGACGCCACAGAAGGCAATTTTGTGAACACAAATCAAAAGAGTAATTCATATGAAGTATGGGTTATGGCACATACAGTAAAGAGTAATTCATATGAAGTATGGGTTATGGCACATACAGTGGGAAGAAGTTTGCAACTGGAGTTGGTGAAGCACGTGTTGAAGGGCCAGGCTTTCACACCTTGACCATCAAAAGTCCCACCTCCGGTCAACACTAATCCATTTACCCATCCAAATTCAACCCATCCAGCACTGTGCCCATACTTGGACAAGTCTGTTGTAGCCTTCAAATATCCCTGCAAGTTCATTTTTATTGAGAATTTGATGCCAGCATACATTGATGTTAGTAAAAAACAAGACTCGAGAGATAGCAGCAACCATGTGAAGATTGAAAACTTGCCTTCATTCTAACTATTAGTGATGATACATTTTTGCAGGGGCCTGAAAATTCAATAGGGCCAATCAGGTATGTTCCTCTCGGTATCAGAAGATATACCGTACCTTCAGACCGACATGCCTCCCTCCACGCTGCCCTGAAGGCCTGGATTGCAGCTACCAGTTGTATATTAGTCTTGTTAGATTAACTAACGAGCACGTTTACGTATATACACGCAGCCAAACATAGAGTAAATTATAAACGCTTTATATAGCTGTTTATCTACTTTCAGGGGCATTATGTATTCTTTACATGCTTCGGGTACCTATCTACTATACTGACTATGCGCCCATAAAGGATAATCATACCAGCTCAAATATAATGTCGTTTTTTTTGTTAAATTTTGGATGGAGGGGGAAAAGGAGCACCACAAACAAAGCCAACACAATAGTAGACGTGCCCCTTTTACAAGAAGTTTACCAAAGGTCATGAGGAAAAATAAAAAAACAAAGGCGTGAAGAAGCTAACAAGTGAATAGCTTCAACTGCATTTCATTTCCTATGAGAACTAGCCAATTATGAGCAACTTAAATCGTCATCTGCATGATAAAGACAGCCAGCAGGAGATCTTTAAAAAAAAAAAAAAAAAGGATTAAAGAGACCAACATTAAAGGGAAAAGAAATGTTACTAAGTTTGTTACAGAACTAATAACAAATTCAGGTTTAACTGTAGGTAACAATAACTCATGACAATTGACATTGGAAGGGTCCTTTTCACCTCATAACTTCAACGAACCACTTTTGATCGACTAAGTAAAAACCAGTCCACAGAATTTCCATTATCAAAATGAAATGAGAGAAAATAGGGTAGTGTGTAGTTTCCACACTGTCAATTTTATCAAGAAGTGTAAAATAGTGATTATTTGGTCCCAGTAGACAAGAGAGAAGAAACAAACATACTTACTTTGGTGTCATCGGTACGTCCATCTGCTCGAGCACCAAAGCTCTTGACGTTGAATAGAGCAGAGCTACGTTGCTTGGGGGGGTGTGAATGTGGTGATTGGCCTCTCCCTCCTCCTACTCCTCCACCTGAACCTGCAATTCCTCTTACAAGAAATGACATGGTGAGCAACAAGAGCAATATGAAACCACTACTGTCAACCATGCTCATGTTTTTTTGTTGTTTGTTATCTTCTTTTTTGTGCTCTGCAAATCTGCACTTGTTTGTTTCCCTCTAAATTCATGTGGGTTGTGTATTTTTCAAATTATTGAGGGGGTTTGAAATTTTTATTAAAAAAAAAAAAAAGGGAATTCAAAAGGGCGGGCTTTTGGAGTGTAGACATAACTGTCCATAACTTCCCCACCACTACATTTACATCCCTTAACCGCCCCTTCCCCTTAACTATAATACTCAGAATGTGTATCCATCCCTATCACATGTCAAATGCAAACATCTTCCATCTCTCTCTCAAAAAATAAATAAATACTGGATAAACAAGTTAAAATAGTTTGAAATTAAAGAATTAGTGGAATATTCATAATATTCAAAGCATTTGTACAGATTCAGGAATTGCTGGTTCTTCATACACACATATGATATGAACCAACAATGGATAAATAAAAACAAATAAAAAAATTAAAGGACCAACAAGTCCTGAATATCACACACTTTCGTGTATGGAAAAAAATTCAATACTGCGGGAGTAATGGTTATGTTGTTACCCTACCCCCAGCTGATAAAAACACCATATTTCTCTTAATTTTAGGAAACAACAAATTTTTTTTCCCTAGTTGGGTACTCACATACACAAGTCTTTTCTGAGACTTGAACTCCTGACACCAAAACCACTGGTCCATTGATAGGAAATAGTAAATTAACATTGACCATGATTAATTACCTTTACAAAAAATGCGAGACACATGATTAATCAGATCCAGAAGTGAAAAAACAGCATGACCATCATCAGATGTACAATAGTGCAAGACCCACAGCAATACAAATCTGTCTCTATGTTGTAAACTAATTTGATTAAATGATCTTCAACCACATTTTACTGAGAGACAACTTTCTTTTCAAGACCATCAAAGCATTCTGGTTCTGTATCACATAGATCAATAAAATAATAAAAAATGAAAAGAAAAGAATAACAATTGCAATACCATCTTGCTTTCATTAATCGAGGATCTTTCTTTCATTCTTCTCTAAAGTGGATTATAAACCCAGTTACTATTTTAATACGATTTATGCCTACATGTACAAAACGAATGCATTTGACATGAATAAAAACAACCCTTTATAATCAATCAAGTGGCTCTTATTGGTTCACAAAAACCAGCACCGAGAATCATTTAGTTCCCTTCTTTCGAACACCTCCTCGTAGAGCCTCATTTTTTAGCCTTAGCAAACCTGAGGCATCTGTACTTTTCTCCACCTACGGTGATTTCGAGAGCTCCATCTTGGTTATCTTGATTTGATGCGGTTCCTGTTAGCACACTTTTTTCTTTCTCAAGTTCCTCTCGCTCCATTTTCAGCCTTGCTTCTTGCCGGGCAATCTCTGCCTGAAAAAATAGATTATGTTTAAGGGATGAAAATAAAATTTGAACACAGTACCTAGCTCCAGCGCCAAAACAAAAAAATGAGTGTAAGCAGCAACATAAACTTTCAACATTTGGATCAACGTCCGCATGAATCGTCAATAAAAAACCAGTGCAACTTATGGAAACAATAAGTTTCGACTACATTTTGGAAAAGCATCTATAATTTATTGTGCAAGATGTGGCATGGAAGCCAAATTAATTAGACTGTAGCTTTGTGGCTGTCGGGGCAACAATGGAAGTTAAAAAGAAGAGACTGGAATTCATTAGAGATGTTAAAGAATGGGGTGAGTTAGTTTTGCAGAAGCAGTGTGCAACACCACCACAAAGAAGTATTTCCTATACATGTTCGTTAGCAGTAGTAGAAATCCTCAAGAGGTTGCAAAGGAGCTTTGTTTTGAAGTGATGAATGTTGGGTGCTGCAAGAATAGAGGACTTGGCTTCTGTTTGAGCTAGTTATTTATTGTCTTGAAAAACTCTATTTCTACCAATATGTTGATTGATTTTTCTGTTTTTCCTCTTTCTTTTGAAGTGAAGGCAGGCAGTTGGTCTACCTTGTACTTTTCTTACCATATAGGGAAAAGAAATGGTACTCTGCACAGCAGGCAAAAACTAGGTAATTCGTTATGCGAGATTATTGTGATACCACGCAAAAAGGAAGGCATTCTGATGAAGAACATGCTAACCGGAAAAAGAAAAAGGAAAAGCAAATGTGGAATTCTTATAATGCACACTTTAGACATTCTATAACTAAATTTTTGGGTTGAATCAAGTCTTAATATGCGTTTACTTGCTTCAACCAAGTGCTGCTACTGTAAATTCAGTTATGAGTTTTTGTTAAGTAGCGCATTATTTATCTTCTTTGTATTTGTGTTTCTTAGGGTAAAAGAAAATCCCCAAATGGCTAACATCTTACCCCCCACCCACCCACCCACCCCATCAGTATCTGACCACCGTCCGACAATGAATGGGTATCACAATCAAACTCTCTATTTGAAGAGAGTTGAATTTCAGATCGATTTTGAGAGAAACTTGTAAAATTTGGTATGAAAAACTCTGTGTTCATAATAATAATAATAATAATCTCCAAAACCCAACAACATTATGAAGTCTTAATTAATCCTAACATTTCCATTAGTCTTAATTAATCCTATACATTGTTTTTCTTCCACCCTTCAAAATGCAAAACCTAAGATGTTTAGCATGTGATGTGATTCAAATACTAATAAATAAAGACAATAACATGTAAAAATGTGTGAGTATATATACAGAACGAATGCTAATGCTAATGCTAATGCTAATGCTAATACTAATACTAATACTAACACTAATTCTAATTCTAATGGTGGTTGGTTCAATATAATAGAACAGAATGGAATGGAATATAGAAAAATAGAATGAAGAAGACACATACTACGCGACGAGAGAGTTCAGCCTTCCAGGCGGCTTCACGCTCAGCGACCTCGCGTTCGCGCTCGTGGATGTAGCTCTGCATTTCTCTCTCCTTCGTCATCCTGTCCTGTATATCTGCATCCAGTGCTTCCTTCAGCTCCTCCACGAACTTGTCCACCACTGCCTTTATCCTAAGCGACATATATATACCTATGTCTCTCTCAGATCTCTCTCTAACTCTCTATTATATAGGCTATAGCTATACAAATTGTGATGGTGAATTGAATTAATATGATGATGCCCTGGTTTATTAGGGTTTATTGGTTTTCATGATCATAAACATAACTCATGTGCAAGCGATGGAGGAGAGAGAGAAAGATAGCTAACGAATTGTGACCACTAGTTGTTTCTTCTTGGACTTGGTGGTCTCTTCCCCCAGTAAGTACCAATCTCTTCTACTGCACATCTCACCCGTCTCCTATTTTCTTTATTTATTTATTTTGTGTGTTTTTTCCCAGTCACACGGACAATCGTCACAACATTCTCACGTGAGATGAGAGTTGCACCTTCATTACTGTAAAATTCAACAAATGTTAATAGTTTTTAATGGATTTAATTGATACGCATTAAATTTTATTTTATTTTTCAAATTAATAAGCATTAATAGATTCAAGATTTTAAAGATTTGTGAAGGAAGTTTGTACTCTGTAGATACCCCAATACTCCGTATTTAATAACAATATCATGTTAGATTTAACCATTTACGCAAAGTAAAAAATTAAAAACTCTCCAATTAAGTCAAAACTCACCAATTAAGTCTTGTGTAAGATTTATTCCTATGTATATATATATATATATATATTCAACATCTAAGCCTATATCTTGACTATTATTTTGACGTTTGATGCTCAAATTTAAGTTGTGTGAGTATAGAATAGAAGTGAGAACCTCCACATTAGGGAGCGAAGCTCTAAATTGTTGATGAAGACTTTTAATAAACCATATAGGATGACTTTGATAATGTCCAAGACATGTCCTGACGTCCTGTGGCATGGCTTTTGTTGCAGACAGGCCCCTCCCTCCCCCTTTGACATGTGATGTAAGCAATAATAATAATAATCAGAGCTACCTACTTCATAAAATTTTGATGCCAACATGTGAAATTACCTTAACACAACTCCTATAAGATCAGCAGCTCCATATTTATTAATGGTACAATACAAATAGCACAGCTTCAAAAGCACAAACATTATATCAAAACACCTCACCGTCGCATCATCATTCATTTATTTATTTACTTTTATTTTGTTTACTTAATAACAAGTATTAGTGAAGAAACACCTCACTGTGGCATCATCATTCATCATCCCATTGCTTCCCAAGTTCCCCCCTCATTACTGGAAGACGTGAACGGAAACTGATCCCAAAACTTCTTCTTGCAAATGGGGAAAACAAAGGATGACCATGCTCTGCTTCTTACAACTCATCTCTGGAACCTTCTTCAATTCTTGTATGCTCAACAAAAGATGCATAAGCTTTGATTATTGACTCGTATATATCAATTCCTTTTATGTACTCGTCCTTGTTTAAAAACTGCAACACAATGAAATATGTCACAATTAGATTGCAAATTGCAATTGCATGCCGTCCATGCCAACTAATCAATTTCATAACTACATCATCAAAATGAAAATTCACTAACTATTTGGTCACTTCTATGTCACAAAAGGAGGAGGGGAAAGAAAAGAGAGAGAGAAGTAGGAGAGAATTCTATCGGTTGGGGCCTTACTCCTTAGGCGACCCACCTAAGGCTCAAGCCAGCACTGCATATACCCAAAACCTTGATGCATTCATTTTGTCGAAATTCTTCACACCATACATCACTTGATACCCATATTTTTGGAATGGCAATATAAATTTTATATTTCAGAAATAAGTCAAAACAATGGAAATCTAAATATTCAGCATCTCCACCTTCTTAAATAGAAGGTTGATGGTTCAAGTACCACTGGGGACAAAAAGTGGGTGAGTCACAACTAAAAAAAAAAAACCCTACCATGTAAACCAGCCCAAAAAAGCAGGAGTCTTAAGAGGTTCACCTCATTGTGATCATGAAGTAGAATGGGAGTATTTGCCATTGGAGAGAAGCCAATTGCTGGCAAGCCTCGCAGCCGGAAGTAGCGAGCATCTGTTGAGGCAGGAAAAATCTCCGGCTTTCCAAGTTTTCCATTAGCATTCTTGACAGCTTCTTCTAACAAATTCCACCAAGGATTAGAACTGTCCACTGCTGTGAGGATTGGCTTCCCAAACTTGTCATGCACGGAAACCTTTTGCTTAAACTGCCCAAGCTACAACAATAGTTAGGAAAATTGACAGCGGAAAAACATTCTAGCACACCAAAATAACTTTTTAAACAAAAGGTGTACATATCCACCTATAGGTCAATATGACACCGGAAGACCATTTTTTCAATAAGCCAGCTTAATAGGACTTTATAAGTAAGTTTATCCTCCCTATCATTACAATTCAGCAATATTACATGAACTGGTGTTTCATGTACAAGAAGACATTAGACTCATCAAATCCCCAAACCCAAGGACAGCGGGGTATCGCAAAGTATACGTACTATTCTTCTTCTTCTTTATTGTAAAAGAAAAATATCCAGAGACTTTAATTTACTATTATACAATAAACTTGAATTATCCAATATGCTTGCTATACCATGTCCGAGTGTTACGCATTTGACACAGGTACTTCACGCATTTTCAATAGTCTGTGTAACAATGTAACATGGCAAATTTAGCAATGCGGCAGGATGCTGCAATCTCATGTACATCAAATGCATATAAGCAGCATTTAGTGTATGCTTTTGTATTTTATTTAATTGAAACAAGTATAAACTGTGCCATTCATTTAGTGCTGTCTTGCTGAACACACTAATTATACGTGTTTTATACAAACAAGATCTCCTCACTTTCAGAATTGCAAAATATTCTCCTCAGAAAACCATCTTTAATGTTCCTTTTCCAACATCGATGGTCAACAAATTCAAAACAGATTTAACAAATCCCCTCTCAGGGTAATTATAAGTCAGTAATCACACAAACGATAGAATCAAATTGTACTCCCTTCTTCCCTTAATAAGGGTCGCACATTGGAACTAACTTTTTAAGAGAACATAGATTTAATGCTTTTTCTTCCTTGTAAATTATAAAACTAACCCAACAAAGTTTGAAAATTGACTGTATTGATTTTAAAAAAAATTCAAAGCCCAAGGACAATTTAGAAGAACTTAAATTTGGATCATCCCCAAAAGGAAAGTATACACTTATTTCAGGAAATCCCAAAAGGAAAGCATGACACTTATTTTGGGACGGAGAGAGTAACCATTGTTCATTTTTTAAAACATTTTCCTCGTAGAATGCAACAATAATTGGTGTTATTGTGGATCTATGCTATCATATGCAAAGTTGCACTGGTTTGAATCTAATATTTATATTTCATGATATGAATTTAATTTAATTAATAAAAAGTTAAAAACACTGGAAACCCCCTATTAAATAAAAGTTGTACACAAAACACCCTTTCTGTTTAGAATGAGCATATAAACTCTTAACATTTGAAAAATGTGTACAAATTGCCCCTTCATCTTATGACCTTTAAAATATATGACTGTCAATTCTGACAAAAGAAGTTCGCTGAAAACCTCAAATACCCTTTTTAAATGATCAATAACCCCTAACACACTCTCTCTGTCTCTCTCTCTCTCAGATTTTCTCTCGCACTCTCTCTCTCTCTCTCTCTCTCTCTCTCTCTCTCTCTCTCTCCTCACAAGCAGCCAGACATTGTTTTTTGGGAATCTCATCCAATTTAAAACTCACGAGCAGCCAGACACTTCCAATCCTAGAATACCTGTAATCCAACAATCCCAAAAGACATCTTTTTATTTCATCTTCTCAAACAACTATTTTCCTCCATATCCTCCATCTATACATAACCCACAATCGTACATTTTCAGCTAAAGCATCTCTTTCTTCCAATAGTCAAACCTCAACTCTGTGAGAAAGTAATGTAAGATGTTAACTGTGTTCTTTCCAATAGTGGAACACCTGTTAACATCTTGACCTGACTCATTAATACATCTTCAGTTAGATAACACCACACCCATTGATGGTCAAATGTGAGTAAATTAATCTGATTGAAGTTCTCAAGAACCAGAAACACCATGATTGCATAAATATATTAAGTTTTTAATTTTAGAGAGTGATTCAAGAAAATTTTCACAAAGAGAGTTTCAAAGAATCCTTTGCAATTCACGATGAAATTTCTCAGGATGATAAATATATGTATGTATATGTAGGGAGAGAAAGAGAGACGGTCATAGAACTTCAAAGAAACTGAATTTCAACACGCTTAACAAGAACAAAAAAAAAAAAAAAAAAAAAAAAAAACAAACTAGAACACCATTCAACTTAGTAAGTTGTCAGGGAGATTGAAATTGAACACACCTACACACACGCATAGAGAGAGTTGAAACGAAATCGATTAGAGAGAGAAAAATCGAACAGAGAGAGATAGAGAGAATGAGATGTGAGAGAGAGAGAGAGAGAAGTGATATGTACAACAGCGTATAAACCACATCGTTTAGCCTTCTTCAGTGTTTTTTTTATTTTGTCGTTGTAGTATTTTAGACATTTCAGTCTTCCTTAACGGGAATTAATGGAATGTACTTATTTGCACAATTTTAAAAATGTAGGGGGTTTATTAAACGCCAGTGGGGTATTCATACTTTTTTTATATAACAGGATTTTTTTTTTTTTCACTATCACTTTCCTTACAATAAAGTGCGGGAATTCACTAGTTTCTGTCTGAACTTTTTTCAAAAAAAATAAATAAATAAATAAATAAATTTCAAATTTTAAAAGAAGAAGCATAACAAAACAAAAAGAACATCTGAAATCTTGTCAATAGAATAAACAATTATCTTTTCATTACACATTTTGCAATAGAAGCAAGATGTAATGAAAATTCAGTGAAGCTACCAAAGAAACCATATTTTTCTAGTATTACCAATTTGGTTTAGAAAGAGAACTAGTTTAATAATTTTTTTACTACCTCAAATGACATGTTACGTGAAACAGGTGCCCATTCCTCAGCGATTCGCCTCTCCAAGGATGCTTCATCAGCAGTTGGTGGGACTCTAATATCAAAGCCTGCTTCTGCTTCAGATGGCTGCAGATTCATGACAAATCCCTGACAGAGAGATTAAAAGTTAATTACAGTATGTTTCCCATATTTCAAGAATAAATATAGTTTGATGAAGAAAATAATAGGATTCAACAAAACTATGCATAATAACATTATCCGAAAACCAATCCTTCTCCCTATAAACAATTGAATCTATAACATTTGCACAATAATATGAGTTCAGTTACATGTATAATGATTTGGTTTTCAATTTCCCTACCAGTCATACAAATTTTTATTATTATTATTATTACCATTTTGATAAAGCAGTCACAAAATTTTTAGCCACCTAAACAAGGAAATCTTGGAAACTCCAAGGGGCAGCCTGATGTTAAAGCTCCAACTTTACATCTCGGAGAATGGGTGTTCAAATTTCATTGGGCCCCCCCACGAGAATTTTCCAATAATTGCTCAGTGCATGTGGATGGAGAGACAGGCTCAACACCATAATTGACCAAAAAAAGGGGGGCAGGATCTTGGCAGCATGATATGGACTTAAATGCCACAAATAAAAAGATTTAACAAGGTATAAAGGTTAGATTTCCCTGATCATGTTATAACTTCAAATAATGGACCTAGAGCAGACAAATTCATGTCAATAAATAGCTAACAATTAACAGAATAACAGTTCAAATAAAGTTGACAATGCAGTAAGCGTAATCTTCTAAATGACAAACCAATAGGACATTAGTTAATCTTCTAAATGACAAACCAATAGAACATTAGTTAATCTAAATTAATGCGTTTTTATAACTTACTAGGTATAGTTCAGGGTGGTACTAACCTTAAATTAAAAATATCCCACATCATATATATATATATATATATATATATATATATATATATATATATATTATTACATTTCTCCCACATCATGTTATGAATTATTGCAGAAAACTTCATCTACAATTTTTTTTTTTTTTCCCCAGTTGGAAATTATCCGAGCACAAGCTGCAAAACTTGTGAGGTAAAACAGCACAAACTTTGGAGTTAATTAGCCACCCACCAGATTTAAAACTAGCAGAGGATAGTGAAACTAGAGATTTCCATAAGGTTTAAGCATGAAATTGTTATTGTCATACATATATCTCAAATGATGATGCGGTGTGAAAAATGGGAAGTCTTTACAATATATGTATTTACCTACTAAGTGAAGTCTTTACAAATTTAAAAGGCTTTGTAATTGATTTGAGTTGAACATGAAAGACGTAGTTCTTTACTGACTAAACAAAAGATTAATACTGCATACTCGAGCAAGATATATAGTCACTTTTGAAAAGAAAAGGAAAAGTACTAACAGTAGGAGATGGAGTGCCGGCTTTTAGAAAGGCCATATTAACCGAGATGACTTCACCTTCTGCCTTCAATCCAGCTTTAACCAAATCAAACTGAGAAGCCCGGAACCTCCTCACACTCTCAATGCTCTTCAACAGATTCTCCATTGCAGTGTTATCATAGAGCTTGGCACCATGCCCAGGAGCTCCAGTGGCCTTGATCTTCAACCACCATGGGCACCTCTCCCCGAAGAACACCCTGTAATTCTCATCAGGCGAGGCCAATCCTTCATCCAACACAATCCCAACATTCATCTCCTTAAACACTTCCGAATCAGCAAACTTCTCTGCACCGTCGTGTCCACCAACCTCCTCGTCGGGGACGAACGAAATGTAAACCGTCCGGTCCGGCCCGAACCCGGCTTTCTTCAATTTGCGAATGGCCTCCAGGTACTGCAAGCCCACACTCTTCATGTCCTGTGAGCCCCTGGCGTAGATATGACCGTTGGTGTGGTCGAGAACGGCGTCGAAGGGAGGGTGGGTCCATTTGGAGTGCTCGGCGGGGACGACGTCGGTGTGGGAATTGAGGAGGATGGAAGGGAGATTAGGGTTTTTGCCAGGCCATTTGAGGAGGAGGACGGGCTTGTCCTTGACGAACTCTAGGATTTGGGATTCGAGGGAGAGGGATTTGGCCTGGGAGAGGATGAAATCGACGGCGTCATGGTATTTAGGGCTTGGATGGGCGGTATTGATTCGGAGGTAGTGCTGGAATCGTGATATGATCGCCGATGAATCTTCGGATGCCGCCAAAGTCAACAACAGGAGACAGAGAAAGTAAAGAAGAAGAAGATGACGGTTGTTTCTGAAACTCATCTCCATTTCTTCTGGTTCTCTCAATCAGTATCAGTGTTACAAATAATGGAAAGTATACAACTCAGTGTTAGAATATATTCTTTAATGACTTCCTCTCACTCACCACTGAAGTTGAGACGAATATCAGTGTTAGAAATAAAGAGAGAGTATACAACTCGGTGTTAGAATATATTCTTTAATGACCTCCTCTCACCCACCACTGAAGTTGAGACTTGGAATATCAGTGTTAGAAATAAAAAGAGAACACAGTGTTGGAATATGTTCTGCAACCGGATATTATAGAATATATTCTAACAAATACATGATAATAATATATTATTGAATATATTTTAACAATATTTTTAAAGTCAATGTAGGTGATATGAAGTCATTTTGAGTTTGAAAACAATCATTTCATCCTGATATAGCTAACGTGGCACCGATGCTATTGTCATTGATGACATGGCAACTGAAGTGGCAGGTGACTTAACACTACTGTTTGCACCTCTATTGTGTGGTAACTGACGTGATAGGTGACATAGCACAATTACTAGCATCATTGCAGAATGTGTCTAACGTTACACCAATACTGACATGTCAGGTAACGTAGGGTGGATCTGTGAAGATCTTTGAGGTAGGTGTGGAGCGTAGATAGGTTGACGTTGTCATCCCCGATGGTAATTATTATAAACTGACGGGTGATGAATTTGTAAAGATTCATCACGTTGAAGGCGCGTGTGAGCGCATGATGACCGCTGATGGCGCGTGGTGGCGTGGTGACGGAACTGATCCGACACGTTGAGGTGCGGGATTACTGTTGGTGCGTGTGAAAGTGCATGGAAGAGTGAGATTACCACTTGAGGCGTATGGTGGCACAGTGACGGAACTGATCCGGCACGTTAATCATCTTTGAACGAGGCATCTCGTTAAACAACGAGGCTTCCTTATACGGGGCTTCTCTAAATGAGACATCTCGTTGGGTTTCCTGAAAGAAGACTTAGACAGCGAGGCTTCCTGGATGGGCATATGAAAATCTTGGAGTGCGGAAGCGTGTTGGTTGACCGTTGCCGCTGAGGATAAGGCTAATGGTGTCATCCCTAACGGTAGTTACGATAAACTGGTAGATTGTTTCTAGAGATCAGAAGGCTCTAATATCATGTTAGAAATAAAGAGAAAATATAGAACTTTGTATTGTATTGATGTAAGACATATGTAATACAAAATTATCATGTGTGTTTATATAAGAAAGGTCATGTGTGGTGAACAAATCATTACCATATAAAGTAATGCTATATATGGTAATGAGGTATTATATAATATATTCTAACAATCAAGATGATTCGATGGTCAATACAGATGAACAGTGCGAGTGGGCTTCTTTCTGATTTTTTTCCAAGTATCTCTTCTTAATTCATCATCAATATAATGATGGCTAATAGTTTTTTATTTATTTTTATAAGGCAAAGCGAGAAAAACACCATTTTAATTTTGGGCAAATAATATTACTATTCTTTATTTTTAAAAAAATGAGTAAAAAATGGCTTATATTGTGTATATAAGTCTTGTTAAATTTGACACATGAGCGAAAAAGGTCTTGAAGTCACAGTTAAGATATAAAATTCTAAAAACATCATTCTCTCTTTCGATAATGCCCTTATAAAATACCCTTAATATTTACATTTTGGGTAAATAACACCCATATCCTTTTATTTTGAGTATATTAGTCCGTTAAGTTTGAAAAAATATGGTAAAAAATGGCTTGTGGTCATTGTTCCGTTAAAGAGCACATGACATTTTTAAGATATAAAATTTTTAAAATACTCGTCTCTTTCGATAATGCCTTTATAAATATACACTTGTCACATTTAATTAGTTTGTTTACCTATTTTTATTCCGTTGCAGATGAATACTTTAGTCTTTTTCTGTCCTTGTTTGCACCAAAATTGAATATTAATGAGGTTTTAGAACGTATAGAGGGTTATATACTCTGTGTGCATACCATAAAGGTGTTTTTTGCCCGCAACCCTATATTATATATATATATATAATTTAGTTATTTCACATTTAATTAGTTTTTCTACCTAATTTTTTATTAGGGTAAATTGTAATACCCTTAATTTTTAAAGGAATTTTTTGGAATTATTTATTTATTTTATTTGTATTTTATTTGATTATTTGGCTATGTGTTTATGTGTTTAATTGATTTAAATTGTTTAAATGTGAATTATGTGATTTAATTGTATGTGTAATTGCTTGTTTATTTGTGTGTATTTATTTGTAATTAATTGTTAGGTTTAAATTTTTTATTTGTTTTATTTTATTTTATTTAAAGTGATGGATTTGGATAGTAGTAATGGACCAACTAAATGGATCTCATGAACTACTTGACTATGAAGTTTAGATAGGTAAGGGTTATGACCTATGAGTGCATTTATATATATATATTATTTTAATTTATTTTTATTTTTATTTATAGTTAGGATTTTGATGTTAGTATCTATAAATATAGTAGTCAAAAGAAGAGGAATTTTACATTTACGTGAGGTGCAAAAGAGGCATAGATCTAGAGAGAGAAGAGAAGCGGAAGAAGAAGGTGACCGGAATAACTTGGAGGTTGCCGGATCTAAAGAAGAAGACCGGAGAATTCATATAGTTAATTTTCAATTCGAAGATCGTAAAGCAAGTTCTTATTCTATCTCTTTCCCTTTGAATTTATGATCTCTCCATCACATGCTAGGCTTTAAGAATTAAATCAAAGAATTTAAATGGACAAATTAATTGTTATGCATGAATTAAACTAAAAGGGTTTCATATTCTTATTTGTTTATTTTTTTAACTTGATGGATTCTTTAATTTGATGCATAATTCTTGTTTTAAATTTGTAGGGGTTCGTTTTCGTAACACAATAAAATACATATAAATGGTGATATCATACACAAATCTGAGTGATCCAGACAACATAATAGAATCCAAGGTGGACTGAGAGAGGTGGAAGCCCACGTAAACTTGAGAGAGAGAGAAAGAGGATGGCAGTGTACAAAACACCATTGACTCCCTTGGTAAATGTTTAAGGGTTGTGAAGACAACCTATGAGAGGAGGCTTAGAGCTCTCAATATCTAGGAGGTGTTTTCCTCCCTGTTTGCTCTACCTTGGCCTTGGAACACTTCCTTATATAAGCCAGGCGAGAGGTTGTATGATGTCATTGGATAACATCACATATGAATTAATTAATATAATAATTAAAAGAGAGAAATATCTCAAATAATTATAAAGCTATATTAATTAAAATAAGGTTAATAATTTCGGGAGTCAAAATGGTATTTCTCTCTCTGTAAGTCAGGTCGAGGGTCGTCTCGACGAGCCCTGTACTTCAGCCACCAAACCAAATACCTCTCTGATCCCAGTATTCCTAAGTCATGCTCCTAACTCAGGTCTTTAAGTCTTCGATCTTCTGCTCGATGTATTCTGATAACGTGGTAAATGGCACATATCTTTGACCATTGACCGTTTGATTTGTGGGCCATCGTTGATGATGTGTCAAAGTTTGTTGACTATTTGACCAAGCTATGTGGTTATTGTTGATGATGTGGCATAGTTCTTTGACTGTTTGACCAAGCTATGTGGGCCATATGAGCTAAGATATTTTGGACACCTACAAAATTGTTGGACATGTTGTATATTTGGTATATAAATCATTGATGATCATATGGGACTTAGAAAACATGTTTTAGGATCCAAATTGGGGAGTTACAGGTCAAAAATCGGATCTGTGCATTCTGTCTAGTGACCTTGTGCTCGAGTACAAAGTTGTCCAACGCGTAATGCTCGAACACTAAGGTTTGTGCTTGAGCACGGATGGGTTATGCTCGAGCTCTAAGAATTGTTTTTGTTAAAATTGTTTTAAATAACTCTGTTTTAAGTGCAATAAATCCCGAACATGTTTATGAGTATTGAGAACAGTAATACAGGTCTGAAATATATATTTTGGTGGTAGATCTTCATATTTTGATATTTGATGAAAATGATTAAATTAATTAATTAAATATGATTTAATTTTTCTTTATATTTAATTTGTGTAGTTAAATATAATTGTTGGTTATATTATTTTAATCATGGTTGTTAATTCACTTATGAATTACTAACATGATACATGGCTATAATTATTTATCTTAACATGATTAGTTATGAATAAAAGATTAATATGATATTAAACATACTTCTATCATATCTATTGTTCTTGGTTGGAATTATAATGAATTATAATTATTGTGCTGTTGATATGATGAAATTTATTCTTGTTCATGATGTGATCATTAAGATGGTTAATAAGCCAGACTTCTTGATATTTTATACCATTGTTAGATATGGTATTGATTGATGTGTAGGTGGGTTAACTAATAATTCATGACATTCTACTTGTGTCATTGTTAGATATGGTATTTATTGTTGTTATATTTATATATATGTGAGCCATGATACGAGCTTGAGGTCTTGGGATCTATGGTTAGGTATGAGGCGTATATTGTCGGATTTGGATGGGTAGCTAGAATAGGAGATGTGTGTGTGCCCTTGTAGATAACGGTATTCATGACCACCTTGTATGCGCTTTACATGATGCCTACTACACGGTTGAGACAATCCTATTACTAGTGAGAGTCATAGTGTGTATATATGTATATATAGACTATATAGATTTAGTATGAGTTTGGCTAGGGATCTATTGATTATCGATTCTCTGATTGGGTCGTAGTAAATGGAACTTACTTGTGCGCCTGACCCACATTTTATTTTTCAGGTTCTCGACAGTACCAACCTTAAAGTTGTTCATGCAGATCAGAGATCTTCACTCTTCCAGATCTTTGATGTAGGACATTCTTTAGATTATCCATTTATTTGTTTATTATTTTAGTTGGGATATTACTAGGGGTCCACATGGTATGGATTCCCAAGTTGTATTTTGGAGGGTTATTGGTATCAGAAAAGTTTATTAATTATTGAATTTTAATCATTGAGGATTTAATTATTTAATTAATATTTTAGTTTTCCTTTTAGCTTTTATTTTTTCTTTACTTATCCACTTGTATTCCGTGTTCGTTTCTTGCCTTAATTGTTTTGATATCCCTTGGTTTTGTGTGCGGACCTGATCAACCTGTGTTCTGAAATCGAGGGGTATCACAGTTGGTATCAGAGCACTCCAGGTTCAAGTGTCTTTAGGGGTTTCTTTCATTATAAGACTTCCACGTTGTGTATTCTTTTGTTTATC